AATCACCTGTCCAGTGAGAATAACTACATGGGTCAGAATCTGCTTGAGGCCCTCAGCCCAGGCTGCTGTCAGCCCGAGGCTCTCAGCTTGGAAGGCTTTTGGCCCCAGATAGTCCCACTTTGCTGTTCTATCTGGCCATCTGCTTCTTAATGCCTTCAGCGCTGCCTGGTTAGGGGTGTCTGTGGCCAAGCTGGTAATCAGTAGACACCCTCTCAGAACAGTGTGCCTGGGGCTTCTCTAGCTGGCTTCACACAGTTAGCTATTTACCAAAGCAGGAATTCATCTGTGTGATTCTTGAATCATTAGGCTAAAGGGCAGGGTTAACCAAACCTTTCCTGCTTGAACAGAAACTACACTTTCTCAGCAAAAAATGGGCATTTTGACCCTAGTATTCAAGTAGTAATGGGAAGATGAGAGGTTTTTGGGATATGCAGTGGGTGCATCTGGCACAAGGACCATGGAAGAAAAATACTTTAAGGTTCAGGTCATTGGAGTTCAGGGTTCAAAGGAATTAATGGAATCTGAACCGGGGCTGTTCTGCCATTCTTCTGACTGTAACAAAGTTTATCCATTTCCCTCCCTGGAAAACTTCCTTTCCTATCAAAAGGGAAAGGAAAACCAACCACTATTTCTCCAAAAGCTATTCTCTCGAAGAATCAGAGTCCTGTGGTAACTGGATAGTTTCTAGAGAAACTATAGATTTTCACCCTTAGGGATGCTTTAAGCCTTAGAGTTTAAAAACCACTAGGCTGCTTCCCACTTTGCAGGGCAACTGGACTGCAGGACCCTAATTAACTGAAATTCCCCCTGTACCAGATGCGGGAGGCAGCCGGTGCCAGGGGATGGCCAGATGGCAGTAATTCTCCCTCCCCAAGCCTTTCACCAAGGCTGTTGTTCACCGGCAATAGAATAGCTTCTTTAATTTCAGTTCCTTTTTATTTCTCTTGCTTAGAAATGGCAAAAGAACGCCAGATGAGGAATGTGGAGGAAGATAAACAAGAAGTGGGGAGGAGAGAGAGAATTTTTCACAACAGGATAATGTGTCTTAGACAATCAAGTGCCGTCTACATTTCAGTACAGATTCTTGGAGTTATTTCAGAGTTTCTTCTGATTTTAGCTAGAAGAACAAGGCTGGGGCAAGATTATCCAAACCTGAAATCATGGCCTCAGGAATACCTTATACCAAGTCTTGGGATGTGAAAGTCTTTGGTATAAACAGCTCTCTTCTTTACAACTGCTTTGCTGTTGTGAGGTCAGAACAGGAGCCCTCTTTCTCAATGACAATTAAAATAAAACTCTGGGCAAGGGTCTTGAACCTTAGTAACACATGGAAACATGTCCTATTGCCAAAAAATCTTAATGGCCTAATCCAAACCAGGAATATTTAGATCAACCTGTATGTCTTATCGCTGATATACTATCTCTAGTTTTCGGCATTATTCCTCATAAAACCAAATACCCACTTAGCTGCTGAGTGGCCAGATCTAAGAGGAAGCTTTTCTGCCTTTACAGAGATGGCTTTATGAATAATTGAACAGACAAGGCATGGTAATATGAAATACTCGTAAATCACTGGTCAGCTCTAGTCAACCTCTTGGTGTTTTGTTTCCTCTGGTCCCACATGTGTCTCCTCGCTCTGGAAAGGGGAGAGGCCAGTAGCAGCTTTAGAAAACAGAGCAACTAAGCAGAAAACACTGAAGTTACGAGTTTGTACTTTTCACTTACTTGGAGAAAGTCCACATCTCAGGAGATGAACAGCTCTGGCTGCAGCTCTCTGGAGTCACGCCCTGAAATGGTGCCAGAGGGAGCATGTAGGGTGGCCAAGATTCCGACTCCTTGAACCACGGTCTAGTAAAGCTCTCCAACCCTGCATGGGAGCACTTCCTCGTTCTAAAATACCCTTGGGACCTCTCCGGGGAGGCTAGAGGGCCCAAATCAGCTGAGACTTATAGAATGGAGCCCCATTCTCAGCTGAGACTTGCAGAACGGAGCCCCATTCCCAGCTGAGACTTGCAGAACGGAGCCCCATTCCCAGCTGAGACTTGCAGAACGGAGCCCCATTCCCAGCTGAGACTTGTAGAATGGAGCCCCATTCCCAGCTGAGACTTGCAGAATGGAGCCCCATTCCCAGCTGAGACTTGCAGAACTCCTCTGAGAGATTGGACCTTCGCATTCCTTGAGATGGGCATTCACATTCTCTACCTGCTCAGCCCTCACCGAGCAAGCCCCACTGCCTCTGCCGCCCTTCTCACACACGCGAGCCTGCTTCTGCAATTGCTGAACATTCGGTCAGAGCAGAGCGCCACAACCACACAGCAAATGAGGGAAGTGGGGCTGAGACACATCCTGTCCTAATGACATCGAGTGGAGAATCGGGGTCACTGCCTTATGACAACAGAAATGCCTCATCCCTCTAGCCACTGCCAGTAAGAGGACATTTTCTCCTGAGTCCATGGCCTGAAACAGTGCTGTCCTTTGGCTTGTGATGTCAGTGACAGGAGACAGTACGGGAACACCCCACTGATGACCAGATGAGTAGGGATGTGTTGAGCAAGCCCAGACGGGAGTTCTACTGAGGGTGAAGTGAGCGCAGGTTCGCTGGACGTCCCATCTCTTTCCAGGCACCGGTTTAGGAGAGGACTGAATGAGGAGAAAAGAGCTGGCGCTCCCTCCGTTCAGTCTGCCTCATCTTTCCAGGACTCCCCGCTTGCCCAGCTGTTTTTCTTTGCAGGACTTATGGGTTCTCCGGCCAGGTCTCTCACCTTGTGTATGATCGCTTCCAGCTAAAGATCTCCTCCAGGTTGGAGGAGGAAGAGGCTTCCCGCCTCTGCAAGGCTCCCCCGCGACGGCGGCCCCCAAGAAAGGAAGCTCTGCGCCTACTCAGCCCTTTCATCCTCTCCTCTGTTCGGAAGAACTCAGTCAAGGCCCGAAAGGACTCCAAGATGACCTCATGGCTCCAGGCTGGCAAGGGCTCCTGACGCAGGAAGCCACAGTGGCCTCCGTGGTGACTGAGCAGGAGGAAAAAGTAGGGGTTGCTGTGAAAGAGTTCAGTTGTCAGAGTGTGGTCTGGAGGTCCACATACGGGGTCGTCAGCACTGCAGATACACAGCACAGGCACGGCCGCCTCATCCACATCCCGGAGGGGGTCGTTGCGGTCCCAGTAGGTATCCCAGCTGATGGGGAAGCTTTTGGTGTGGCAGAAGAGAGCCTCCTCAAACTCTCGAAGGGAACGGCTCCTGAACAGTCTGCTAGTGTCCACGGTGTCCTCCAGGGCTGTGGCATACCTGACATCGAGACGTTGAGTGGGGAAGGTGGGAAAGAGAGGGAAGAATGAGAACATCAGGTGACAGCAGACGAGACAGAGACAGCCGGCAGGCCAGATCCTAACCGCAGAGGTTTTCTTTGGCCATTTAGGGCTTTGAAAAAATTTCATTTCATGGCCGTCATTTAAAACCAGGAGATAAGGCTGGGTGCGGTGGCTCTCACTTGTAATCCCAACACTTTGGAAGGCCAAAGTGGGAGGATCGCTTGAGCCCAGGAGTTCGAGACCAGCCTGGGCAACATGGTGAAACCCCATTTCTTAAAATAAAAAATAAAAAATAAAAATTAGCCTGGCATGGTGGCTCAAGCCTGTGACCCTAGCTACTCGGGAGGCTGAGGTGGGAGGATTGCTTGAGTCTGGGATTGCACCATTGCACTCCAGCCTGGGTGACAGAGACCCTGTTTCAAAAAATAAAATAATATAAAATAATAAAATTAGAGGATTTCACACGAAATGCAGGTGTCTGGCTTCTCTAGGGAAGTGGGAAGATGCAGCCACGTGGGTGGGCATTTCTCAGCACAACAATGGGCTCCTCCCTCGTGAGACAGTGCCCACCAGGCCTGTCATTCATACCATCACTGCACCTGCCTACGTGCCCTAGGGGCAGCATTTGATTTCACAGCTGCTGACAGATCTCCTAACCTCAACTTCTGGCCCTCTGTGGAGAACTTGCTATGAACTGTAACCTCCTGAACTGCTCCTAGAAGAACTTACTGGCTTAGACTATCCAAAGCAGCAGGTGACACCTCTGCTAATCATTCACGTTTTACTTTAGATTGCATTCATTGTTTTTATTTTTGTTTATTTTTTTGAGATGGAGCTTTGCTCTGTTGCCAGGCTAGAGTGCAGTGGCGTGATCTCAGCTCACTGCAACCTCCGCCTCCTGGGTTCAAGTGATTCTCCTGCCTCAGCCTCCCAAGTAGCTGGGATTACAGGCACGCACTGCCATGCCTGGCTGATTTTTGTGTTTTTAGTAGAGACGGGGTTTCACCATGTTGGCCAGGCTGGTCTCAAACTCCTGACCTCAGGTGATTCGCCTGCCTTGGCCTCCCAAAGTGCTGAGATTATAGGTGTGAGCCACTGGCCTCGGCCATTATTTTTGTTTTTTAAACTAACATCCTGTCCTGGTAATCACACGAGTGTGCTGTTAATCAGGTATACCTGGGGCAGATATTCCTAGAGAGTGTGCTGCCTGGCAGAGGAAGCAACTGGGGCTGTTATTAATTTACTGGGTTCCCAAATGGGGGCCTGAGAGCAACTGCTTTGGGTTAACAGGGAACATCTTTGCTGTTTCCAGGCCCCTGGAGAGGGCTTGGCATCCCGACAAGGACGCCTGGTTGGGCAGCTCCATCTTTTGAGTAGCTCAATCCAGCCTCAGAGAGTTGAAATTAGATGTTCATCTCTGACCAAGGACAGTGGCTCACATCCATAAACCTAGCACTTTGGGAGGCCAAGGCGGGTGGATCCCTTGATTTCAGGAGTTCAAGATGAGCCTAGACAACATGGCACAATTCCATCTTTACAAAAAATACAAGAGTTAGCCAGGCATGGTGGCATGTGCTTATAATCTCAGCTACTTGGGAGGCTGAGGTGGGGGTCTGACCCCCACATCCCAGGTCTATCTGCTACACCACACTGTTGCCATATGTTGTTGACCTCATTCTGCCATCTCCTAAGAAAGCCAGAGGCAGGCTGGGAATATCACCTGAGCCCGGAAACTCTAGGCTGTAATGAGTGGTGATCCCACTGCACTGCAGCCTGGACGACAGAGTCAGATCCTGCCTCAAACAAACAAGCGGCTGGGCATGATTGCTCACACCTGTAATCCTAGCACTTTGGGAGTCAGAGGCAGGCCAATCACTTGAAGTCAGGGGTTCAAGACCAGCCTGGCCAACATGGTGAAATCCCGTTTCTACTAAAAATACAAAAATTAGTTGGGAATGGTGGTGCATGTCTGTTGTCCCAGCTACTTGGGAGACTGAGGCAGGAGAATCACTGGAACCTGGAAGGCGGAGGTTGCAGTGAGCTGAGATCGTGCCACTGCACTCCAGCCTGGGTGACAGCAAAGCTCCCTCTCAAAAAACACACAAACAGGCATGGTGGCTTATGCAAGTAACCCCAGCACTTTGGGAGGCCAAGGCAAGAGGATCATGAGGTCAGGAGTTCAAGACCAGCCTGGCAACATGGTGAAACCCCATCTCTACTTAAAAAATACAAAAATTAGTCAGGCGTGGAGGTAGGTGCCTATAATTCCAGGTACTCGGGAGGTTGAGGCAGGAGAATTGCTTCAATCTGGGAAGGCTGCAGTGAGCTGAGATCACGACACTGCAATCCACCTGGGTGACAGAGCAAGACTCTGTCTTGGGGAAAAAACAAAAAACACACAGACACACACAAACAAACACAACAACAAAAATCCACTTGCCCTGAGTTTTCATAGCTGAACTTTCATGAGAAGGACAGCTCCTAAACATGCAGCATTTCTCTTCAATTCTTCACTCTGCCTGTGGCTAGTGCCCAGGTTAGTGCTGGTGGAGATCATTTGGCATGGAAACTATGGCAATTAAGCCAATGAGGGCACCTTGCCCCTGAAAGGCGCCAGCGCCTCTGGGTTGCCATGGCAGTGCATCAGGCTGTTGTTGAGCTCAGAGTTTGACCTTCTCAGAACAGGATGCAAAATGAGGCAAGGAAAGAAAGAGAACACAATTGCCACCATTTCCTGAGCACCTACTCGGTGGCAGGCACCTACTTTTGTTTTCTCTTTTTTTTTTGAGACGGAGTCTTGCTCTATTGCCCGGGCTGGAGTGCAGTGGCGTGATCTTGGCTCACTGAAATTTCTGCCTCCTGGGTTTAAGCAATTCTTCTGCCTCAGCCTCCCCAGTAGCTTGGATTATAGGTGCCCACCACCACGCCCAGCTAATCTTTTTGTATTTTTACAGGTAGAGATGGGGTTTCACCATGTTGGCCAGGCTGGTCTTGAACTCCTGATCTCAAGTGATCCACCTGCCTCAGCCTCCCAAAGTGTTGAAATTACAGGTGTGAGCCACCGTGCCCGGCACCTACTTTTTGTTTTCTAACTATCTTGGGAGATGGTTATTAACAAATGTATTTGAAGAGAGAAGTGAAGCTCTAAGCGGATTGGCTAACTTGCTGGAAATTCTGGATTTGAATCTAAGTGAATCTGACTCCATATCCCAGGGCTTTCTGCTACACCACCCTGTTGCCATAATGTTGTCGACCTCATTCTACCATCTCCTAAGAAAGCCAGAGTATAGGCTGGCAATGTCAAATGGGCCTTCTCAGTGGAAAAGTGTCACCTGTCACCCTGGTGGTAAACTGTTCTTCTTTTGGAGATTTTTTAAAAATTCTGTTTAAATATTACTTTTTGTATTAAATATTGAGCACATATGTAGAAATGTGTAAAACAGTTGACAGGTCTAAACAATTTTAATAAATTAGTTGGGCATGGTGGCTCACGCCTATAGTCCTAACACTTTGGGAAGCTGGGTGGGCGGATCACTTGAGGTTAGGCGTTCCAGAACAGCCTGGCCAACATCGGGAAACCCCATCTCTACTAAAAAAAATTAAAAAAAAAATTTAATAAATGCCAGTATGCGCGCGCGCGCGCGCACACACACACACACACACACACACACACACACATTTTGAGACAGGGTCTTGCTCTGTCACCCAGGCTGGAGTACAGTGGCCTGACCAAGGCTCTCTGCAGCCTCAAACTTCTGGGGTTGGGTGATCCTCCCACTTCAATCTCCTGAGTAGCTGGGACCAGAGGTGCATGCCATCACACCCAGCTATTTAAAAACATAAATTTTTGTAGAGACGGGTCTCCCTATGTTACCCAAGCTGGTCTCAAACTCTTGGGCTAAAGCGATCCTCCTGCCTTGGCCTCCCAAAGTGCTGGGATTACAGGTGGGAGCACTTGCACCTGGCCTCAAATGCCACCATTTTTTCTGATTCCTGCCACCTCCAGGCTCATAGACTGTGAGTAAACATTCTGGGCAGATAATCGTTTGCAATTGCTTCCAGGGTGCTGTTTGCTGTGTTGTCAAGCTGCGGGCTAAGTGGTAAATGTCAGGTATCTCTGCTGTCGTGGGCCAGGTACTTAAGTTGCTAAGATACCGAGGCTGAGATGAGACAAGGGGCCGAGGCAGGAGTCCCCCGCTCTAGCACAGTGATACTAGCTAGGTCCATCGATGACCTTTAAACCTGCTTCCCCTGTGTTGCCTAGACTACAGGGTTTGGACGGCTTTGGAAGATGTGTTCAGAGAACTTTGCCCAAACTGGCCCATACCTGTTTGTTCTAATGCTATGCAGAGCTGTTTCTGTTTCTCAGCCAGCTCAGGCCCTCTATTCCTACCATGCCGGTCTGCGGCCTCCGTTACCCACCTGCTGAGGGCGATCTTCTGATGGAGCAGAAAGCCCCGCTCGTAGGGCCAGGGAAGGCCGGCCTCGAACCACTCGCGGCAGCGCAGCACGGGAGAGATGCAGGCGGCGCCTGTCACGTAGCTAGAGGAGCCGCACTCGCCCAAGTAGGACAGTAGCAACGCCGAGCCCGAGCCCTCGCTCACCAAGAACAGCGGCGCCGCCGGGTGTCGGAAGCGGATGTAAGTGACCGCCTCCTTGAGGTCGGACGGGTCCCCGAAGGGCTGCAGCCGGGGGCTGACCAGCGGGCAGCCGTGGTGGCCGCGGCGATGGAAGATAACCGGGTAGTAGCCGCGCTCAAGGGCGAGCAAGCAGAGGCCGAGCACGTTGCGGGTGAGGCGACCCCAGGCATTGGGGATCACCAGAAGCACCGCGGGAAGGCCCCCGGCGCTGGTGATCCGGCGGCCCCGAACACAAGGTCCCACCACCCAGTCCAGGGCCACCAGCCCATCGTCCGCCAACTGCAGGTACTCCCGGGCGAGCTCAGGCCCGGGCGCCACGGGCAGGACGAAGTGGCAGAGGGTCTGCAGGTGGGGCCCGGAGAGCCAGGAGCGCGGGCCGGGCTCCAGCGCCGCCGAGCGCCGCAGGGCGCGCAGCAGGCACTGGGCCAGCGCCGACGGCTTGCAGACAAGGCTACACCCGCCCGGCAGTGGCTCGCGCCCGTCGCTGAACTGGTCCGCGGGGCCTCCGCCGTCTGCCTCCTCCTCGTCATCTCGGTTTTGGGCCCCCGGCAGGGTTTTCTCTCCGACGGTGCGCCCCCAGGGGCTCCGGAGCCGCGGGCGGAGCAGGCAGAGCAGGGCGAGCATCGCCAAGATGAGCGCGAGGGCGGCGCTCCACGGCGGCATGGCGAGGCCAGAGAGCCCCGGCGGGCGGCGGGTGGCGGGCAGCCCGCAGCGTGTGGCTGGCAGCGGGTGGTCCGGCCGTCTACTTGGAGAGCTCCGCGCTCTGCCTGCGGCTCCGCCTGCAGGCGGCGGCTACCCAGAGCCCTCCCGCGCGGGCGCGCTCTAGATTGGCCGCGGCTACTCAGAGGCAGCCAGTTCGGGCCCGACTCCCCTCGCCCGCCCCCCACCTCCGCCCTCGGCCCTTTGTACAGCGATTGCAACAAGCGGGAGCAGAGAGTGAGAGGAGTCGGGGTCACCAGGGAGGGAGGGCGCGCTAGCAGCCGGAAGGGAGCAGGGAGGGCACGAGCCGGGGAGAGCGGTGCTGACCAGAGGCGTGGGGAGACTGGAGGCCGAGGCTTGGGGACCCGGGTGTCATCAGGGTCTTTAGCCAGACCCCGGGCGCTCCGCCCTCAGAGACCGATGAAGAGAAGCAGAAGGGAGAGGTTCGGGCGCCGACTCCTGGGCCAGCGTGGGGCGGCGGCCGCGCGCTCTGCACTCGGCGTTTGTCTCCCCCGCCCGACCCTGCAGCCCCGCAGTTACTAGGCCGGGCAGGGTCCGGCGCTGGGCCAGTGAGGGCGAGCGCGGCGTCCGAGCCGCTGGCGAGAGACTGCTACTTCCCTGACTGCATCAGTGCGCGTCCCACGGAATCCTGGTCCCTGTACCCGTGCCCGCGAGCTCGGGGCTCCCCATGAAGGAAATCCCCAGACCTGCTGCCCGGGAGGGAGTTCCCCAGAAGCAGCAGCCCCACGCCTCCGAGAGTCAGTTGGAGAAAAGCACACTCAGGCGTCCTGAGACAGGGATGCCCCTCCAACCTACAAGGAACCCCTTGTAAGCCGAGGTGCATGGGAGACCACGGACATAACACGTTCTTGTTGTTTCCAAGCTTTGGGATGGCCATCTTGACCCTCGCTCTCTACCCGTGTTCTTCCCCCATATCCTGGAGAGGGGACCAGAACCAGCGCCCCGCTGCTGGGCGGGCCAGCCAGCGCCCCCCCTGGGGGTGAGGCCTGTGGCTTCCCCACCTCGCGGCGACCAATCTCTTTCTGGACGCGCGCCGGCCACCGCTGGGCGACGGCGGAGGAGGGGAACACAGCAGCCCGTCGGCCAGCTCCGACCTCCCGGGGCTTCTGGGTCTAAGGAGTTTGGGGGGCGAAGACCCCTCGAGGCTCCTCTGGGGTCCCTATTTGTGACGGTGAAAGTGGGGTGGGCCGACGTCAAAGCTTCAGAAGTGGGACCGTCTCCCTTCAGCAGCTCCTCCTGACTTAGTAATTCAGCCCCTCTTCTCGCTGCAGGTCACACAGACAAAATCTGAAGCAGGTTTGCCAGGGGAGCGTACCCGTCTCCCCGGCTTGGGCCACCCGGTCCACAGGGATCCCAATCCCATCCAGGCGCTGCAGATGTGTTCTGCAGGCTGCAGGGACGCGCTGGTAGGAATCCCCGGGCCAGGCGACGGGGTCCCCGCGGCCCTGCAGCGCCTGGAGCGCTGGCCCAGCTCACTCACCCAACTTTTCCGGCTTCAGGTTTAGGACGCGTGCGCGCACGCTCGGCTGCTGTGGGCGGGCATTGGGGCAGGGCGGGGACCTAGGGGCGGGGCGAGGCCGGGGGCCTGCTGTCTTGGGAGGGGCGGGCGCGAGCTTAGGGCAGGCGGGCGCGAGCCCGGGGCCACCGGGCGCGCGGGCGCGCGGGCGGCGCGGGGGCGCTGGGGCCGGAGGGGCGGGACGCGCGCGCTCCCTTGCTGGCTGGGCGGCTGGCCCGGCCCGGGGCGGTGTGGGATGGCGGCTCCTCCGCCTTCGCCCCAGCTGCTTTTTCTGGCCGCCCTAGCAAGGCTCCTGGGTCCCAGCGAGGTAAGGTGATCAGCTCCTCCTGAGAAGGCTTCGGCCCGGGAGCGCAAAGCGCTTTGCCTAAAGTTCCTCCTGGAAGGAGTGGCGCGCCGAGGGGGACGCGGAGTTCTTCCGCTGGCGGGCTGTGCCTGGAAGGAGAGGGCAGGGCCTCGCCGAGTCCAGCGCCCCAGCTCTGCGCTTTGGACCCACAGGTGGTGGCTAGACCGGCGGAGGAGGCGGGAGCGCATTGTTCCGAGGGCCTGTGGCCTCTTCCCCCGCAGGTAGGAGCCCTGGAGGGCCCAGGGAGAGAGGGCTGTGAAAGGCTAGCCCAGTCCCGCTCCGTTCTCGCTGCACCCTCCACAGTCAATCTTTGGGGACCTCTGCCGGTTCCTCCCGTCCTCAGTCGCCAACTCTGCATCCCAGCCTGGTGTTTGGGGCCTGCTGTCCCCTCCCCATTACATACACACAGATTCCCCCCAACTGCCCTAAGCTCTGTTCTTTCCCCATGTATAGGTGTCGCCAAGAGTGACCTCCACACGAGTGAGCCCAGGGAAGGTGAGTACAAGCAGGGCCCACCTTTCGTGTCCACGCCTGGAGACCCGAGCTCCTAGAAGGCCTCCGATTCCTTACCATTCCTTACCACTGCCCTCAGGCAGAGGCAAGGGCTTTAGTTCTCCGCCCCACCCCCAAGCCCAGGACAGATCAGCCCCAGTACAGATGGCCAAGGACCGTGAGCCATAGGCCTGCGATCCTATCAGGATGCTGTTGGGTAGCTGGCTGTGAGTGGAGCTCTGAGAGTAGTTGGAAGAAGCCCAGGCTCCCGCTACCTGGGGGGACATCGGGAGGTCTCCTTTGTGGGCCCCAGTTTTCTGTAGGAGAGGGTATTCTGTCCCTGCGTGTGAGCGGCGAGGATGGATGTGTGCCAGCACGGCCATCGTGGAAGGAGCGTGCCTCTGGTTCCCAGGCTTCACACTGCGGGCTCAGCTTCCACGGCGGCTTCAATCTTCATCGCAGCACCTCTGATTTTTCCTTTGAAATACCTTTTATTATTGTTATTAGCAGTAGTAGTAGTAGTACTATTTGAGATGGAGTCTCGCTCTATCGCCCAGGCTGGAGTGCAGTGGGCCTCACTGCAACCTCTGCCTTCCAGGTTCAAGCAATTCTCCTGCCTCAGCCTCCCCAGTAGCTGGGATTACAGGCTCATGCTGCCACACCCAGCTAAATATTTGCATTTTTAGTAGAGACGGGGTTTCACCATGTTGTCCAGGCTAGTCTCGAACTCCTGACCTCAGGTGATCTGCCCACCTCGGCCTCTCCAAGTGCTGGGATTACAGGCATGAGCCATCATGCCTGGCCTGAAATACCTAATAAAAAAAAAATTCTCTGTAATAGCTCCAGGCCAAGAGATGTTGCCTCCCACCACCTACCAAATTCCTTTCCTCAAACCGCCCTTTCATGAAGTCATTCCTCTGTTAGAAACCGTCAATGGCTCCTTATTTCCCACCTTATCGTGGCCATACTCTCCAGCCTGGCTTTTCAGGCCTTACTTAAGTAAGCTTCATCTGACCTCTCCAAATCCTTGGCTCTTCTCCAGTTGTGTCAGTCTGCTTGCCACATAAATGAGTGCCAGCCTCACCCCTGCTGCGGTCCCTTTTTCTCCTGTTTATTCTCCACACCCGGGCTATCCTGACTCAGAGTGTGCAGCTTCCTCCCCTCCTGCCATCCGCCTCCAGCTGTCTTCCAGGCCTCAGCAGGACTCAGCTCCTCCCAAGACCTTGTCTGATGGCATCAGCCTTTATTCCTCCCCTCCTTCTCTGAATGATAATTTAACAACTAATCACTAAGTTTTGTTAGTTTGCTCTTTCATTTGCATTGGTTGTTTCCCTGAGTTTCTTATACATTCCCTGCAAGCAGAGTCCACGAGTTCTTTGGCATCTCCCACAGCATCTAGCACAGCGCTGAGCATCAAGTCAACTCAGTCAGAGAATAATAAGGCCGGGCGTGGTGGCTCACGCCTGTAATCCCAGCACTTTGGGAGGCTGAGGCAAGTGGATCAAGAGATCGAGACCATCTTGGCCAACATGGTGAAACCCCGTCTATACTAAAAATACAAAAATTAGCTGGGTGTGGTGGCACATGCCTGTAGTCCCAGCTACTTGGGAGGCTGAGGCAGAAGAGTCACTTGAACCCAGGATTCAGAGGTTGCAGTGAGTTGAGATGGTGCCACTGCACTCTAAACTGGTGACTCCATCTCAAAAAAAAAAAAAAAGAAAAAGGAATAATGAATGATTGATGGAGTTTTTCCATCCTGAGATTATGCACCTGCTGCCTGCCTGCCTGTCTTTGGATGTTTTTGGGAGATTAACTGTATAGATTGGATCAATGTTCTTCATTTGGGGGATGCTTATGGCTTGGATTGTGGACCTGTAGAGCCATTCTTACAGCTGCAGAGAAATATGGCCAGTATGGTCTGAGTCTGGCAGGGTTACCCAGGCATGCTGTGAGCTTTGAGGGGTGGCACTTGATGGAGAGGAAGGGTGAAAGGAACACTCAGAGGCAAGAGGGAGTACATGCCAGTACCCAGGGCCCTTTGTCTTTTTCTGGGCCTTTTGTCCTTTTCTGAGCCATCTGGCCATCCTGGGAGTCCCTTTAAACTGTCCCCCTGGATGGGAGAACTTGAGATTCTCTGGGAGGGCCCTGGGCCTGCTTTGATATCTCTGTGCCTTTCCTCCAGGCTGAGGATGTCACCTTCCTCTACCACCCCTGTGCCCACCCCTGGCTGAAGCACAAGCTTGCCCTCCTGGCCTACGCTTGTGTGGCTAACCCCTCCCTCGCCCCTGACTCCAGCCTCACGCAGGATCGGGTATGTAGCTGATGAAAGGTGCTTGCCTGTCCCTGGTAGAAGGCTATGGCCCTATGTGCAGGGAAAGGAAAATTCAAGGGGCTCCTCTTGCTTGTCCCCACCTTCCTCGTAGCTCTAACAGTTACCTCCTCTCATAGCCTCTGGTGCTGACTGCGTGGGGGCTGGAGCTGGAGATGGCCTGGGTAGAGCCAGCCTGGGCTGCCCACTGGCTGATGAGGAGGTGGAGGAGGAAGCAGAGGAAGAGGACGGCATGGATCTACCATGACAGCCTTTTGGGGCCCCCTCCCTGTATGCCAACCCTGGGTAGAGGGAGGCTGTGCCGGAGAGGGTGTGTGCAGGTGAGAGGTGCTGGGCGCAGGCTTGTTGGTCTCAGGTTCTCTGAGGAGGGCAGCAGGGTGACTGCTGTCTCCCCTCTTCTTAGGCCCTGGCTCTGGCCTTTGCTCTGCGGACCTGGCGGCCCCCTGGCACAGAGGTGACATCTCAAGGGCCCAGGCAGCCCTCTCCCAGTGGTGCCAAGAGGCGGAGGCTGCGGGCTGCCCTTGTTCCCCAGCCGACTCGCTCAGCCCTGAGGTTTCCCTCTGCTTCCCCAGGGAGCTTGAAGGCCAAGCAGCCCATGCTGGGAATCCGTGGTAGGGAGAGTAATGCCCCATCTGCACCCACTGCCTCCCTGCTGCCCGGGGCACCTGGAGGCAATGCCAGCTCCAGGACAGAGGTTCATGTGCCCAGCGGGCAAGACAGCCCAGGGGGCTGTGTCTGTTCAAGTCAGGCTTCCCCGGCCCCCCGCGCGGCAGCGCCTCCACGGGCAGCTCGGGTCCCCACCCCACGCACGGAAGAGGCCGCCTGGGCCGCCATGGCCCTGACCTTCCTGCTGGTGCTGCTCACCCTGGCCACGCTCTGCACACGGCTGCACCGAAACTTCCGACGCGGGGAGAGCATCTACTGGGGGCCCACAGCGGACAGCCAGGACACAGTGGCTGGTGAGGAGTTCCCTCCCCACCCGAGGTCCCCGCCCATCTCGCGTCGCCCCCCATGGCTTCTCTGCCCTCCCGCCCTTGACTGCTCGGCGCCCGGCCCACAGCTGTGCTGAAGCGGAGGCTGCTGCTGCCCTCGCGACGGGTCAAGCGCTCCCGCCGGAGACCCCTCCTTCCGCCCACGCCGGACAGCGGCCCGGAAGGTGAGAGCTCGGAGTGACGGCCTGGGTCCTGCCACTGTAGCGTGCGGCTCCTCCCCGCGCCGCGAGGCCGCGACCTCTGCCACGTGGACCGGGCGCGGGGCGCCCCCTGGTGGCGACGGTGCGGCCCCGGCCGAGCACCGCGGAGGCTTTCCTCCTCCGCGTTCCTCGGCGTTGGTGGCTGAGTGAGCGGCGGCAGAGAAAAGGAGCCGCTTCTGCCTCCCTTGCCAAAACTCCGTTTCTAAATAAATTATTTTCAGTAGAGTCTGGAGTTTAGCTCGTGCATCTGGCGAACAGAGACACTCCCACCCAGACCCTTGTCTTAGGCCGTGGAGGTGGTGTTTCGGGCAGGGGTTTACCCATCAGACGGTACCATCAGCCCACCCCCACTGGCCAGCCAGTCCTTAGACACGGGGCTTTAGGAGTGTGCCCGTGGAAGGGTGGCTCGTTATCATCATACATGTTAACCTTATTCCCAAACTCCTCTTACACTAGACAGACGTTCCCAGCACAGGGGCTTACCTTGGGTGGGGAGTCCCAGGCACTTGCAGCCATCCTTCCTTTCATGTCTGCCACCTCCCTCCAGCCCCCATTCTCTAGGCATCAGAAATAGCTCATGGTCACTTCTTTATTTTTGATACAAATGTACATGACACATGTCTTGACAGTCAGCCCACCCACCACCACACGGGGAGGGCATGGCCCCCAGGGAAGAGGCCGGATGGGGAGAGAGCTGGTGGGTGCCACCATCTGCCTCTCCAGCCTTCCCAGGCTGCGAGGCCAGGTTCCCAGGCCTCCAGAGGGTGGGACCACAGCAGGTGCAGGTAGTGATGATGGGTGCTGGCCTCGCAAAGGTTACGGGGAGGGGACTCAGCTCCACAGCCACCAGCTGAGTCAGGGACCCCGGGGAGCCAGCCCCAGGCTCAGGTGCTCAGTCCTCTGCCCTGGCCAACACACGTTCCCCCTCCACACAGGAGCGGGAGAAGATGGAGGGAAGTGGTTTTCAATTGAAGTTCATAGAGAAGAGGCGACAGTGGGGAGGGATCAGGGAGGCAGTGGGCAGGACCACAGCTGGTTACCTGGGCAGCCCCTGGCTCCAGGTGGGGAAGAGAAGCCGACCCCCACGCTGGTCCCGCTGCTCTGGTCCCCTCACCCCTCGAAACTCCAGATGGACCAGGCCTCCGGAACGGCACTGCCGCCCGCACACTCACACGCAGGCACGCAGGGACACTCAGTTACCACAAAGTTAAAATTAAGGGGTGGGAAAGAAGAAAGGAAAAAAAAAGACTTTCCAGTGTTTGCTGCTGGGGACCCCAGCACACAGGTTGGGGCCTGTGCCCTAGGCAGGGGCCGTTTGGCATTAAAGGGAGAGCAGCAAGGGGCTGGTGGCTACAGGGCAGGGACATCCACAGAGACTATGTACAAAGGAGGGGATGCCCCCGCTCAGCCCCCAATAGGGCTGAACTGGCTCATGGGGGTGGGGCGTGTGTGGGGAGAGCTGCCCCACTTGGAGTGTCGCCAACCGCCCCTTTGCTGAGGGTGCCCTAGAGGGCCAGGGGCTGGGAGTGATGCCTTGCAGGCCCCTGCTCACTAGGAGGTGGGGAGATGCTATATACAGGGGAGAGGTGCATGGAATGTGGGGGACAGAAGCTGCTGCCACCCCACCTCCCCATCCTTAGGGGCTCGACAGGGGTGGGCACCAGGGCGCCTGACTGCCAGCGAGAGTGGCAGCACTAAGGGCACTTGTGCCAGTGGCTCTGTTGGGGTGGGGATTAATGTCTGGAGTGGCCCAGCTCCTGTGGCCAGTGAGGTCCTAGGGTGCAGGTGAGGGTGTGGGGGGAGAGGTCACTGCTTCTTCTCTCGGGTGGTGATGGTGACCAGCTGCTTGGCAGCCTTGGCGATGTCGTAGGCGCACTGTATCACTTGCTGAGTCAGCAGCTGGAAGTCCACTGGGGCGCCAGGCTCTGGGGGCACTGTCTTCCGGCATTCACTCTGCAGCCGGTAGGCGCTGGCGTTGAGCAGGCGCAGTGAGCTCCGCACTGGCTCCAAGGCTGGCCTCTGGAGGGTGGGGGAGTGAGGCTGGACCTTAGACTTTAAGCCACCAGCTGCAATCAGGGCCCAGTTTGTCTGAGTCTCCACCCAGGTAGCAGTCAGATGGGATTCTCCACATCTGCCCCAGCCCGAGGCCTCCCCCCAACTCCTGGTCCTCTCTTTGGCCCCTGCACCTTTGGGAAGAGGGAGGCCATCTCGGTCACAGCCAAATGGATCTTCTCTGAGCAGGGCACAAAGCTGCGGGGAGAAGGGAGGGTATAAATTAGGGGGCTCTCGAGGGAGGTTCCCAGGGACACCAGAACATAGGGCTCCTCATACCCTCTACAACACCCCAGAAGCCAACAGGAACCACACCCCCTTAACCCTGTACCTGTCATGCTTGAACTCTTGGGCTGCCCGCAACAGTTCCTGAATGTTCTTGGTGACCTGCTCTGTCTTCAAGATGACATCCTCTGTGCTGGGAAGCCCAGGATCTAGGTCTCCATCCAGGCTTTCCAACTCTGGGTGGAAGTCTTCCTCTTTGCCCAGCTCTAGAAACCTCTTCCCTTCCAGCCTAAGGCCCAGGTCCAGAAAAGAGAGAGAGAGAGAAAGAAATGTTCCAGCCTTGGAGCCGCCTGCCTAGGTCCTCACAGACACGCTGGGGGTCCTCCCAACCTCCCTGCCTCAGCATGTGAGCAGGCTGGGCTGGAGACCCAAGAAGCCTCACCCAAGCAGCGGGTCCCCACTTTGCGTGTTCTCATAGTCACTGTCAGCTCCGCTGCCGTGGCGGGAAAGCTTGCTCTGGAGGGCGGAGGGAAGGGGCGGTGAGTGCATGTGTTCCCGGAACCACAAGGCCCCCAGCCACCCTGTGAGCACTGGGCATGGAAATGTTACCGTGTGGCGGCTTCCTTCCTGGGAGCAGGATAGCAGTGGGGAGGAGGGAGTGAAGGGCACAGCCGAGGCAGACACCCCCTTCCGGATCTGAAACCCAGGGCAGTGCTGGATGGAGTCAGAGTGCCCCACCGCACCCGCTCGCCAGAAGTCCGGCAGGGACAGGGTCGGTCTAATCATCTTAGGCCCCGCATTCAGCACAGAGCCCAGCACCCCCTGGGGCTCAGAACCTACTGGCTAAGATGGAGCTGCTTTCCCCAGGCCCTGCTTACCCGGTAAAGGCCAGCAGGGACATGCACTGAATAGATGGCGTCGTCCTCTAGCTCCTGGGGATGTTAGCACAGCAAAAGTCACGGTGGACCCTGTGGCAGCCCTACCCATTTCCCCGTGCTGTGAGACCCACAGGTGACTCACGGTGCTGTGGAAAGGCTGCAGCCGCGTAGTGAGCTCATCCCCAGGTGGGCCCCCGAAGGGCTTCAGGGCGGAGCCTGGTTCATACATGGAGAAGGCCTGGCGGTCCCTGCGGTGTGTGCTCCCGCCTGGTGCCATGGGTGTGTGTTCTGCCCGTTCACTGGGGAGTGGGGGTGTGGGCACCGGCCCCGGAGTTTGCCGGAGCTGCAGATTCTCTGCCTGCAGCTTGTGGATCTGTGGGTGCAAAGTGCTGTCAACCCCTTGGAGTCCTGGGGCTCCCCCTCCCTCCCACTGAGGCTGCACCCTCACCTCTCGCTGCAACCTCCGGAGCTCATCGCTCAGGCTACTGTTGACCTTCATGAGCTGCTGCACCTTTGCCTCCGAGGTAGCCAGGGCCTTCTTCAGCTCCAGGTACTCCTGCAGCGTCACAGCCCCATCAGACAGGTCCGAGGAGTCCATGCTCTGCAGAGAGAGACCTAAGGTGATCAGAGCCGGAGGCAGGGGAGCCAACACCCACAGGGGGCAGTTATTAAGGTTACGAGCAGCCCGCCTGTCCCCCAGGCCCCTGGGCTACAAGAGGACAGAGCTGGGCCTCCGTGGAGTGGGCGGGAGGGCTGGGGAGGGCGGCCCTCGGACCCGGGCGCGGTTGCTCCGAGTGGCGCCGGTGCTGCGCAGGGGCTCCTGGTCTGTGTCCTCGTCAGAGGCCACGCTGTCGTAGTCGTGCTGGTCGTCGAGGTCACTCTGGCTCCTCACAGACAGCTCAAGGTTGTCTGAGGACACAGGACTGTCACTTAGGCCTCACTCTACCACAGGACCTGTCTCTCAGGCCACCCCTGGCAGGGAGAGCCATGCAAGAGAAGCCCCTGGAGCCCCACCCGCTGCCCGCAACCTGCAGCCCCCCCCCGCCCACCTGTGGGGCTGCTCAGGCTCTTGCCCTGCTGTCTCCGCTTGGCCTCACTGAGAATGTCGATGATCAAGGTGGCAAACTCTCGGGCATTAAAGCGGGCCAGCTTCTGTCGCCCCTGCAAGGCAAAAGGGCCAGGCTGGCCTCAAGGGACCCCTTATGACTGATGGATGGGGGTAGGGACCAAGCAGCAAGGCATGGCCCTGCCATCTAATTTAACCCCAGCTAAAGCATCCCAGCCCAGCTTTACCTGGCCAGTCAACAGCCGAGGCCACCCGGGGCTGGGTATGACAGAGGAGGGTGCCTGGGCAGAGGCCTGAACACCCCCTGGAGCTGCTCAAAAGAATGGCCTCCTGCCCCTTCCCAAATCCCAGTGCCAGCTGGGCCCTGAGGGAGGCCCTGGCAAATGCTGGAGAGTTGGCTTAGGCCCTAGCCCACTGCCAGATGAGGAGGGACCACAGGGATGAAAGAGACCACCCTAGACCCCCAACCCAACCCCCTCACCTGATTCCGAGTGGCTGAGTATTCCGGGTTAACAGGCAGGAAGGGCACAGCACTGCGCTCTGTCACCAGAGTGCTGTGGTTTTGGGTAGCCAGCCACACTGTGGGGGAGGGAAAGGAGCAGATCAGCCACGGTGGCCAGGCCCCCATGGTGTGGGTAGGGAAGCACTGAGCCTGGCCTTCCTAGCTGACCCCATGCCCACCGAGCACTGGTGTTCAGAGCAGGGGTGGTCTTAGGCACACAGGGCAAGGCTGGGCGTGGCTTGCTGGGACGGACAAATGGAACAAGGCTGGTTCCACCCAGCCAGACCTAGAGTTTGGGCTGGAATCTGGCTGTGGCCAGGAAGGAGTGATACGGGGGGCGGAGCAGTACCAGGGAGACAGCCAAAGTGGGAGGCTGCCAGAGCGAGAGGAGCCCCAGTCTGAGGCTGGGGGAGGAGCAAGCTAGCCTCCTCCCCTCAGCACTCTGCCCAGCCTGGGATGCTGCCCAGGCAGGCTCACAGCCAGCAGGGGCTCATCTGCAGGC